ATGTCAAATAAAGTAATGCAGATTTACTTGGCTTCAGTAGTGGAAGTCAATGGTTAAACCACTGTGGGATTTAGAATGCTACCACATTAGCTGCACACTGACACCTGCAGTAGCATGAGCCAGTCTATACAGTAAGGTTTTCAAGTATACAGTATTTCATTTTATTTGTGCTGGAAAGCCCCTCGTGGTTTATGTAACTGACTTTTAGTATCAAGTACAGGTCGAGACCCTGAAACACTGTGTCCTACATTCCCCATAATGCAACTCAATCACATCTATGGTTGTAGCCTCCCTGCCTGTATAACAGGGGTGGTGGAGGTAATGGGTTACATTTACTCTCATCAGCTTAACAAATTTGCTTTTGTTTACTTTGAGTTCTTTCGGTACTTTAAAAAAAATTGGTTATTTCAGGCCTGCTCACAAGTAGTGTTTATCACACGTATAGCGCGTGGCTATATTTCGAGTTGTGTACAGAGTGAAAACAGAAGTCCTGATAAACTGTGAGAGAATAAAACAGTAGAAAAGAGATGAATCAGAGAAGAAGCTGCAGGTGTGTCTGCGGCCACAGGAGGGCGGAGCTCCAGGTAGGAGACGCTCTGCACCCCGGAAATGACACGTCAGAAACGTTTGCGTTTACGGGCCGCCGAGTTCACGGGCCCGGGGTCACTTCAAGCACGGACAAGTTTAGGACCACGTAGACGGTGTGGATATAATTAGCATTATTGTACCTCGTTATAGTGAAACAAAAATGTTGTACCTATCTCAATTAATTAGAGGTCGCACCACCCACTACGCTCGTGACCTGTGCAGTTGGAGAATGCTGGACTTTGCTAGCATGCTAAATGCTAACAAGCTACTGATGGAACTTCTACCTTCAGTGAGGCGTGTGAGGACTTTCTGCTGTTTGAGACTGTTAACACCGGATACCTGCTCAAAACGGACCAGAGAGTGGACTGGTTATACTGGGACGGAGAGGCGGAGCGGGTATATTACGCGTCGAGGGTAAACGTTGAACCTGGAGCAGACTGTGAAGGACTTGGCGGTGCCGTTCAGACAGGCGAGTACAACATGCTGCTGAGGTGCATTTTATTTTAATTGATTATCAGTTGTGTGCACAAACTGCAGAGTGGCCGTCTGTTGGTTTGGACATAAGGAGTCTTGTTGCTGTTGTTGTATATGTTGACATTTAATGCAATCTCTTTTGCAGCCCAAAAGACGTTCTTTAAGTTACCTGTAGTATCATATATCTCCCTCAGTAATGTTTACTCAGAATCATTTAAACCTACTTTTTTCCTTTACTTAAGTACCACCTCTCATCTTTCCACCTCTGCTGTTAAATGCCCATGTCTTTCAAAGTCCAACCAAAGGAACGACTGTTGTTTGCCAATTTCTCAAAATGGTTGCCCATGGCGAACTGGCAACCCTTACTGTCGAGCCCTGCGGTCCAAGCCCAAGTTCAAACAACCCCGATGACATCATCGGGGTTGTTTCTGTAGAATTTGGAAACCTTCTCCCAGAGGGTTGTAGGGTCAGGGGCTGTATGAGTAAACTAAACCCTTTTAATAATAAGTCATTATTTATTAACAAGTCAATAAAGCTGTATTGTATCCTTTTCTCTATCTATTGTGAAATTGAAGACTTGATTAGCATGAAAAAGTATTCATGTATGCTACACTATAATTAATTCAAGTACAGGGCTTTATAATCAATGTAGAGTTCTGAGTTATATAGATATGTTATCTTAAATTTCATTACATCATTGATGGACAACACAATACGTGCAGTTAGTTTAAGACGACTGAAACAAACGGTATCTTGCAGGCTGAGCGCTTTGAGCGGAAACAGCATGCGATCATAATTACAGCAGCTCTTAACGAACCCTGGATTTTCATGACTTTCATAAGGGGGTGTAGTTTACAAGAGCACGCATTTAGATAAGGCTGAGAACAAGTTCATTAGCGGAGTTAGCTAGCTAACAGACACCACTCCCAATTAGCCTGGAGGAGAGCGAGTGGGGAGAGAACGAGAGAGACTGAGTCAGATTCCTATCAGCGCCAGTCCGTGAAAAATGAATAGAATAGCATGACATGCTATCTCCCAAATCAGCGGCTGATTGCGAAACACCCGTGACTAGAAATGAACACGAGACAGAAGATCAGTGTGCAGATTTGCTTAAGGACATACTTGTAGAGAGACGAGTGCAGAGAAAGGGAACTCGCTGGGTGTTCCACATCAGAGAACCAGCACTCTCTGCACACCGGCTATATCAGATTAATAGTGAGTCATTCTGTACGCTTCTCTGGCGCTACAGACAAGAGGAGACAATCAGAGAACACGGGGCAATCGCGGACAGCACTTGACATGAGTTACGAAAGTGGAGATGAAATGCAGGGACAAGAAAGAGGAAAAAAAAAAAGAAAGTTCAATTAAAGGATGTAGATTGTAAAGGCTTTTGTTGTTACTCAGCAAAAGGGAAGACGGCGCGGAGGTGCTTGAATAGAATCACCAAAGCAGGTGGGCATGTTCCGAGTTAGCCCACCTCATTAAAAGGCTTCACTTCCCTTTTTTTTTTTTTTTTTTTTATGCAACGGCCATTACACATCCTATTCAGATGCACACACGCGGTGATTAAAAATTATCTGTAGGAGATGGTAATCACACCTGCTTAAACTTAAGCCAAAGAATAACAAAGAACTTTTGAACGCGGAACTATCTGAGCATTTACAAAGAGATTAAAGGGGAGACAGTCTCAAACTAAATAAATTTGCTTTTAATCGCTCTGAACAGGAAGTCATGTCATTTCAAATGTCCCTATCTGATTGTCTGATTCCCCCTCTCTTTATTCAAATTACAACATGCCCATCTGACTTTTCCAGCACAATGGGGAAAATTAAAAAGGGAAATGACCTTTCATGGCCGCCATGATGGGAGAGTGAATGGCATTATTATGCACCGAGATTAATTTCTGCCCACTCTGTGCTGCCCATTGAGAAAACAGAGCGGAGGGGGCCTCGGTGTAAATCATCACATCATTGAGATGTCCACAGAGTTACATCGGCGGTTACATGTTGATTACATGTGCTTTCCTTTGACCAACCCGGCTCGACTGTACGCGTATATATACAGTATATTACCGTGTTTCTTGAACTTGGATGCAGCCGTGTGCTAAGTTTCCCCCTTAGAGATAAGGACACAGCGCGGAAGCCTTCAAACTGGATGTCACTCGATAACTCCGAACCACTCGGGCTGTGGTTTAGTAAAACATGAAATGGGCATCGTGTCTCACATCACCTCCTCCGCAGTTCAGCCGTCCTCGCTCGCTGCATGCGAGGGACACTTTACTCCCGCAAAACTCTCGCTCTCCGCCGCCTGTCCAGCAGTGTGTTCCTGAGCCTCTAATACTCATGCTGATGGCGAAGTAGAAGGGGGAGGATAATTACAGTCAGTCATACATCGAGTCATGCTACATCCATCCCTCCTTTTCAAAGCGGTATTTTTTAAGCTCAGCATTTTCTCGCCCCAAAAGGGCCCTTTTTTCCGCATGTGATGCCTTCTTTTTTGTCACGGCCCCCATAGTTCAGAGCTGACCCCCTCAGCCCTGTCCCCTGACTGATCACAGTGATGGTTTATTACTGTCGTCCCAGCATTCTTATCTTTAGCCAGCAATGCTCATTTCCTTCCCCAGATTTAAATGCAAATGTGAAATTTAATGATAAATGCATTATCTGATAGGTGCGATAACACTGATTCACTGTCAGTATAAAATACACACCCCGGGGGGCTTCGAGCCAGCAAGCGCAACTTGCCCAAATCCACTTTTTTCTCCCTCTCTCTCCCTCTTTTTTCTCCCTCCTCTCTTCTCTCTCTCTCTCTTTTCTTTCTTTCTCTTTTTTTTGTACAAACGCATGTACCTGCAATAAATTCTTGAGGTCATTTTATGCATTAAATGAAATCATATTTTGTGTGTTCAGCAGTGTGGGTGCAGGCTATTGCTGAGCAGTAATTGCTGTGCAACTATCTTGTTCAATGTATTATCCATCACTTTGATGAAGTTTCTTTTAGTAAAAGGGCAGCACAAGATTAAAAAAAAATGTGTTGTAAACTCTTCAGAAACGCTACTTCTGCTTTGCATTATGGGCACTTCTCTAAAAGATTTACCTGCTTTCTTTGCGCAAGCAATTGTTGGTAATTGAATGTACTGTTAACTGAATGGTGGGTGGTTTGTTATGTAGCAGGCAGACTTCTGACTCACTTGTCCGTCTATGCTTGCTATGAAGGACATAATGCTTTCTTACTTTTGAACCATATGTGCTCATTTTGCTCCTTTTCCATTCAATGACAAAATCAATACTGTACTTAACCTCAAACTAGGCACCATGCATTGGAAATTGGTTACTACTGTCCAACATCATCTCACCCCTACTCGTCATAGTTAGTGAATGCGGTAACACGTGGTTGTGACTCATAGTAAATGTCGTAAAACATGGTTGTAACGCGTGTTTAACGTACATCCGTAGTTTATGTTGTAAAGCGTGTTTAACATATTAACACATAGTTAACATTGTAACACATAGTTAACATTGTAACACGTAGTTAACATTGTGGTTGGGTTACAATAACCTCGGAAGTAATGTCACGTGACTCACTGACGCAGCATCACGTGACATAGCGTCTTTAGTAAAAACAACATTATTTTTGGTTCCACATGGGACACAAATGCCGGTCCCCTGGGTCAAGGTCCTGCGTGTTTATTTGTCCCATCCACCACAAATTCCTCCTGTCCTCAGCAGACTTTCTTGCTTCTAATGCTTCTGTTGCTGTTCTGTTGAAAGCCCGGTGCGTCTTGTACGGAGGCCAAAGTGTGACTTGTGCGTCGGTAGCAAGACGCACAGGCCCACTGCCCGAGCGTCGGTATTTGCCGCCCTGGGAATGAGACCAGGCTCAACCTTCAGATGGCCCTCAGTGGCCATCTAGGAAAGTGATATTAAGACTTCTCTTACTTGGACCATCCCAGTCATCTGGCCCCACGATGGTATGCCTGGTCTTCTCGCCCTGCACGTCCATCTCCGAATCTCCTACTTCTCGGTTGCCATCTTCTTCTCCTGCAGGGCAGAAAAACAAATGAATGAAGTCATATAAAGCACACAAGACAAAATGATAGAATTACTCAATCCAAATGTGCAATGCCTAATTTAATGAAGCGCTGCATTATAGACTGTGCTGTTCTTAGGACTTAAGAAAAAAATAATTTAGTTTTATAACCCTTTCCTGTAATGTTTGAGTGGCACAATGTGAAGTCATGTGAGCCATTGTCATTGTGTACGACTGTCTGTATAGTTTGTTGAATGTCTATTTTGCAGTGAGATCACCAGGTCCAGCTGCATACTTTTATGTAAAAAGGAGTTCCCATGAGTGCTTGCAGGAACAGGAGGAAGCCCCGTGGAACAGGAAGGAAAGCAATGTGTGGGAGAGAGGTGGCTATTTATTACCGTTTGATCTATTGTGGAGCAAGCGAGAATGTGTGTTATAGGATGTAGGGCTGATTTACAGTCGCGGGGCTCACACGGACCACGCTAAGGGATATTTGGGTATCTCTCTCAAGGATGTAAATGCTTAAAGACCTTGTTAAACAGACTCCGCCTCCCGAGTGTGCAGCAAGCAACACTGACTGGGGCGCTTGTTTGGCGCTCTAAGATACACTTACTGTAGAAAAAAAGAGAAATCTATTTTTGCATGTCTACAGTAAGCACAGTTTGTACTCAAAGTTTATAGGCACATAAATCAGTGCGCAGTAGGTGAACCCTCGGTGCGGTGCTCCGGATAAATCCACTGTGGCTGACACAGTGGCCGTCTCTCCAAACTCGGGCGAGTGAGAGCAAATCTGCTCGGGGCGCATAGCGCCGGTTGATAGTTTGTGGAGGAACACTTCTCCCACTTTTGTCACCATATCGTTTTCGGCCCTTTGATGTTTTAAACCCCCCAATCGTGAACGGTCAAGGACAGGCCTGGATTACTACAATGGATTACTACACTTCACACACTCGACAAGGAAGAAAAGGGGATCGACGCGTAGATTTAAATGTCAAATATGACAGAGACAATGCATCGTAATGATGTAGCTCGTACAGCACGTCCATATGATAAAAATAATACCAAATATGATGGGGCATATATACATGTTGTTGTTTACTACAGTTGTATCGGTCCCCCCCCCCCCCACAACTTCCAAAAAGCATTTCAGAGTGTTAGTTATCACACTTCCAGCGACAACTGCCACGGGACACACACTACTTCACTCCAGCGCCGTCCGTCCTCAGTTAGGTTAATCTCCAGATCAAGCACACACACACACACACACACACACACACACACACACACACACACACACACACACACACACAC